GGGAAAGAGAAGAAAAACATATAATTAAAGATACTGTAGTGTTTATCTGCAGATGGCAGGCTTGGGACTTTTAGCCAATATTATTACATGCAAAATGCTTTCAGGACCTGCAAGAAGAGAAGGGGCGCTTGAGTGCAATTACCTACATTGAGCATAAAATGCTGAGAAATATTAACGCCAGCAGGGCTCCAGTGTATTGCACAGGCACAGAGAACCACCCTGCCCTTGGTCAGGAGGATGCAGGACCAGGGAACAGACTCCTCGACTGGCAGCCAAGCACTTTAAACAGACAACTAAGCCAAAGCAGATGAGAGGAATCCACTGTTTAACCTTCTTCAGCATGGCAGCAAGCCCCAGCTCTCTTTGCACGCCCGCCCGGTCCCCGATGCCACAGGCTGCCTTCTTTTAGTGGCAAGAAGGAATCAGCACAAGGCAGAGAAAAGCAGTTTTCCACCCATGTTCTACTGTGACCTAGCATCATCGCCGACTGCAAGATACAGGGATGAGGCAAAAAGAGAAGAAAGTCCAAAGAAAAAGCTGTGTAATTAGCTTTTTTCTGAGATAACAATACAACACGGTCTCATTGAGGACATCTAAATCTTGCTATTGCTTTTTCAACTCTACCTGCCATGCAGCAGTTCCCAGGATATCACAGAGCAGGAAAAGCTGGGATAAGCCCAGGGTCTGTCATATGAACTGGCTGAAATCCCAGAAGCCCATTCAAAAAAATGCCTGTGCAATCCTCTCTGCCCCTTATTGCTTTAACTAAATTAACAGCTTGGTCTGAAATGGTAATATATTAAAGTCACTGGTGCTGGGGTGAGTGACGAGCGGGGAAGAGGGGATTATTTTGCTGTCAGGGCGGAGGGACGTTGCTAGAGGATGCAGACCTTGCCTTCCTAACCTTTCTTTTCCACCAGCGATCATTTCACTCACATTTTACCAAGGAATCACACAGGGATAGACAGCAGGACTTGGACCACCACACCTATCTGGTACCCAGGCTGTGTCTGGTGTTTTGGTTCCCCCAAATCCCAAATCTCTCTTCCTCCCCCAGCATCCCTTCCCACCTCCAATGACCCTGCCCAAGCTACTTGAGCCCAGCAGCTTGATGTTCCCAAAGCCTTGTGTAGGAAAGGCTGGAAAGCAAGCTTGAAATGGCTCTCCGTGCTGCAGATTTGGCTGATTTATTCCTAATAAGATCAGCTCAGGGGCAGGCAGCAGCCACTGGTGCCCAGACCAGGAGCTCTGCTTGCACCGGCATAGCGGTTCATTTTGGAGAAGTGTTTGGGGAACAGCTTACCAGGGCATGCACCCCTACTGTCCCCACATTACCCCCTTACTCAGCCCCCCATCCAAATAGTTGGGGAATTCAGCCTGAGAAAGCCTTTCCTAGCTCCTGCCTCAGGGCAATGCTTGCAGGCAGAATAAAGAGCAGAAATACCGATGGAGAGGAGAGCCTCTGCTCCTTGTGACATCCCACCCTGCTGCGTCTGCATCTTTCACCCCTCTTTCCCCCCTACCCATTGGTGCCACCACAAGGGACAAAGCAGTAGAGAAGAAAGGAAAAATAGGACAGAGGAAACAACCTGTTGAGCATTTAAATTTTACAAACTTGATAAAATAATCAGAGAAAGCTGCCACCTGCTAGTTTCTGTCTCCACCTTTCATTTTAGCACTTTTTTTTTTTGACCCAGGATTTTTCTTTTTTTTTTTTAATTAAAAAAAAAAAAAACTGTTTTCCTTCTAACCTATGTGGGAGTGAAAAATCTTTTAAAAATTGTTTTGCTTCTGTACCTTTGCCCCTTCTTCTCTTGCTCTATTTTCCCTTTTCCTGCATCATTTACCTTATTATGACTGCCTCTCCCTTTTCATGTCTGTCTCTCTCCTCCATTGTACAAGAATTGATCTCTTGCTTTTCTTTCCCCACCACTTCTCTTGTACAGTGCTCTCTCCCCTGACTTTTTGATCACATACATCCAGGCCAGCGTTTTCTGCCCCCAGCGTGCTGTCCACCTCCGTCCCTTCCCTCCCATGCCATCCTGCTTCCTCCACCATAAATTGCCATTTACACCTTTCCCTTAGTCAGACCAAGCAATACATGCATCTGTCTTCACTCTCTTCCATGTATCGCTGACTTTGAGCCCCTGGCATCAGTTGATGGGTGCAGGCTCCTCTCCTGGTTCACCCTGGGCAGGCATGCAAGCTCTACTCAGCTCCTTCCCTTCCCACTCTCCACCAAAAGACACCTAAATCTATTGATCACCCTCCCCAGCTTAAGGCTGTCGTCATAACTATTGGGAAGCGGTAGGCATTTGAATAAGGAAAGGTTTATGACTCATACCAGCAGCTGTTGGCACAGGGAGGCGGAGGGGAAAGGGGTGAAGAAAAACACTTTCTTTTTCTAGAGCCTCGCTCTTAAGGCAGTGGAATGGGGTTTGCCCTCCCTCAGCCTGAGCAGCATCCATCGCCCTGCTCCGCCACATCCCCACATCTGGCCAGCTCCAACCACGACCACCAGCACAAGACTGTAAGTGCCTGAGGTGCGTTCACAAGTTTTTTATTCACAACGCTGCCACTGACAAAAGAAGAACAGGAGCACAGGGAAAATTCAGCACGTTGGCCAAGTCATTACACTATTTGCCCACTCTTACCAAGCTCCTGTGCTGTCCCCTTCCTCCTTGCTCCAGGAATGCGGCAAGGGCCAGGGCTTTTGTAGAACAGGTACCTGAGTAGGATACCATCTTTGCACACCAAAGCTACCATTGAAAATAGGGGTGTGAAACAGCTTCGAGGCAAAAATCCTACCAAATTTAGCATCCAGCAGCCTGAATCCACAGGATGATGAAAGGTCATGAATAAGCAGGGATACCTCACATCTCTTCATGCACTGTTTCAAATAGTAAAGGATTTAATTGTAATAGAGGTTTAAAGGGGGAACCTATAGACTTCTCTGAACATATGAGCATCCTGCTCTTTAGTAGATCATTTTTCATTTACTACTTTCTTTACTTCTGTACTTGCAGATATTATTCTGGGCTCCAAGAAAACTAACAAGCAAGATCGAACCAGAGCACCCTGCTTATTCCCCATGTCCCCACTGAGCTGGGGGTAGTGACAGGGTGGTTAGGGACAGACCCTGATGGGGACACATCTGACACCTGGATTCCCAACTCGGTGTGAGAGCAACACCCAGGTGCCAGCTCCTACAAAAGGCAGAGAGACACCACTTACACGAGTGGAGATGTTTTTTCTCTCCCCTCAGCAGAGGATACTCTCAGCAGCAAGCGGCATTACCTCTCTGTCCAAGGGCTGCCTGAGCCAGACAACACCGGTCACGCTCTCCACTGCGAAAAACCGGCTGGCCTCCTCCCCGACCACGCCAAAGACCAGAGGGTCATTGTCCAGGTCCCGGGCCAGCAGCTGAGTCACTGAGGAGCCTGGCAGAGACAGACAGGAAAGAAATTATGAGCAAAACAGGACAAAAGGGAAGAAATCCTGAAAATATTCAGGTTTTCTGCCTTCCTCCCTCAAGTCATACCCAAACTATTTTCCTGTGGTGCTGCAATGCCTGAAACATTTATACAGCGGCAAGGGGAGTCAAGTTGTACATGGTCTTACTGTTCTCTCAAGCACGGATAAATTGTACCACAGCTCCTCTCCTCCCTCGCCCTTATCAAAAGTCACGTTTGCTGCATGGCCATCTCGGGCACTAGAGACAGTGGAAAAACCCATACCACTTCTGGGTAAGCACCTACCAGCCTTCCTCACACTCTCCCCTGCCAAGGGGCACCACCAGGAGATACAACAACATTTCCAGGTTAAAAGCAAACATCCCAAGGCCAAGAGCACAGATGCGATGCCCACAGGTGCCTAAAGACTCAGGGATTTGGTAGGGCTGGGAGCCAGACACAAACCTGGGGTCTCGGATTTTGAACACAGCAGCTGCAGCAAGTGCTGATCTTCTTGGCATACGTGGAGCACATGCACCCACAAAGCACGACATTTGCTGGGACAAATCCATCAACACCTTCTACCAAATCATGTTTGAAACCATCTTCTGCAGCATCCTGAATACCTCAGCCAGCAGAGGCCTTGCTCAGCCATCCCTCACAGATGTGTGGTTGTAAATGTCTCTTCCTGACTGCACCCAAGAGGCAACTCAGACCCTCTGAAGCTGCTGCATGGGAGCCATGTGTCCTGTTTGTGACCTCCATGCTGCTCCCAGAGCAGGGTGACTTCTACTGGTCAGAAAGCAAGGGACAGCCACCACTCTTGGAGCCACATTTCAGCCCCGTAAGAGCCTCGTTGGTCATTTTGGGCCTCTCCATGACGCAACTGAACGCATTCAAAGTCTGGTGTGGGGGCTGACAACGGCTGGCTGCCTGCCACCCACCTCCCCCACCTAGCCGCTCTCAGTCCCCTCCCCAGAAGGACAGGGGAGAAAACAAGAGGAAAAAATCCAATAGGTGGAAATAAGGACAGGAGATCCCCTTGGCCGCCTGGCCCTGATGATGGGAGGAGACAGCCTCCTCTGCATGAGCCAGCTTTGGTGGTACACGAGCACCCCATGACCCCAAATCATCTGGCTGAGGAAAGCAGATGCCAAAATTTCACCCCTCTGGGAAGAGGCGGCCAGCTCTGGCAGACCGGAGGGCGAAAATGGTGGCACAGCTCAGCAACCAGAGTGACCTGGGCAATTACCAACTGGTTGGCCTGACATCAATCACAGCAGAAATAATGGAAAAAGCTGATATGAGATTCCATTAATAAAGAATTAAATGATAGGAACATAATTAATGCCAGTCAACATGATTTTATGGAAAATAGGCCTTGTCAAACAAACCTCATTTTATTCTTTGATGAGATTACAATTTTGGCAGATAAAGGTAACTGCAAAGAAATAATAGACTTTTGTAAAGCATTTGACTTAGCATTGCGTGATTTTCTGATTAAAAATTTAGCGCCGTACAATATCGACAAAGCAAGCACACTCGAGCGAGAGCCCAGCTGCCTGGCAGGTCCCAAGGCCACCGACAGCAGTTAGGGGACATCCTCGCGTGACATAAAATCACTGTCAGTACAAACTTGGGTGGCAGCATGGCAAATAACAGGAGGACCAAGCAGACAGGTGAAGCACCTGGTAATTTGGGCTTGCTTGGTTAAAAATTTGTTTTCACAACCCTGCTTCCAAATACCCTCGAAAAAGGCTGCTGGACCACAGCTGCAGAGGAGGGCATCCCAAAACCAGCCATTCTGGCAGGGCGGAGGATCCAAGCATGCAAGGAGCTCTTTCCATGCCCTGGCTGACAGAGCCGCGGTGCAATTCGGGTACTCAGAGGAGTGCCTTTAGGGGTGTATAGCCAGTTCTACCAAGAGTGCATTTCTGCAAGCTGCCTGCATCGTCTTCGGGAGTGGGTGCAAGAAGCAGCCACAAACATTTGAGAGCTAGCAAAAATACTTTGCACTTAACAAGGACTTTACAAGCTTGAACTGGTTCATTTAAGACAAAGAAGAGCGAAATGACTCAGGCCCTCTCGAGCACATTCATGAAGAGAACAAAATGTAGTAAAGGCGACTAGCCCAGTGCAAGAAAAAAACAGCAAGACTCGGTGCCCGATCCCAGACAAATTTCTATTAGAAAAAGGAACAGTTGTTTTAAAAAGAGCAACTATAATTAACCATTGGAAAAAAAAATTCCTTCCACCAACACAGGTGCAAGTGAGTGACAGGTCATGGTCAAAAACACTGTGGACAAAGACCCAAAAGCAAGAGTCCTTATCCAAACCACCACAATCATCCAGTTCATCTGCAATGTTCCCATCTCCTCAGTGAGGCAAACAGCAGAGATACAAAATGACCCTACACTTTCTCAAACCTCGGAGTCTTGATATGAAACAAGCTACTAATTTGGGTTTACTTTGGAGGATATCTGAAGGCATCCTTAGCAAAGGTTTGTTTGCCCCAAGAAACAAGCAAGACCGTGACCATCCCCATAGCAGTGACAGCCAGTAACTTGGACAAGATAAATCCATAGAATCACAGAATCATTAAGGTTGGA